TTCTTATAGCATTCAAGTTGTTTGTTAATCTTGTACATATTTGGTAAAAATATTATTTTCACCTATTTTTTGCACGTAGTGATACGAAACCTACTCCTATTTTTTTGAGAGTTGGTCATAAATCGCATGATAATATTTATTGGTTTATTATGAAATCATAGAGCTATTGTCCCATGGCACATGAAATAGCATTCTATTGTGTGTTACATTCACGTATTTTGAGAAACTTGTCCTAGGCTAATATTTTTCAAAAATAGCTATTTTTAAAAGAATTCCATAGAACATGTTAAACTAAAATTGCATTTTTCGACCCATTTTTTTGTAATAATTTAGGAAAACAAAATGTACCCCATCATTAATAGTACAATGTATATGATTTGTTCAGCCTATGTCACCCGTACAATTTGAGATATTGCATCATATATCTCTGCCGTAGAAACCTGAGGTAAAATCACTATAATACTGCCAAAATGCCCACTACCCCCTAAAATACAAACATCATTACTTTTTTAAAGTCAATATTCTTATGATGTCCGGAAGTGAAATTTATTGGAAAATGGATGAATTCTGAGTATTTACACTCATGAGATTAGGGCTTCCACCTTAAGAATCCGGGTCCTGGACGAAAGCTTCCCGACATTGCAAATACAAATACAGACTTTGTATGTAACCGTTATGATTTTGCGTCTATTGTTACACTTTTCTTGTAGCATTTCAGATATTCCAGATAACTTTCCACTTAACTTTATACTTTGGACACATCTACAACCTACTACCCACACCGCATTTCGGACTTTTTACCTACATTTACCAACGTTGTATGCAACTTTATATACATTCCACTGGCATCACATACGTTACAAGTGAATTAACCTTTTACATGTAATTTCACAGACTTTCCAGGAAGCGATACAGATTTTTTGCGTAACTTTACCAGCTTTGTACACAAACTTGGCCCGCCGCAACATTTTATAATTGGTAAGGCCAGACTTTTATTATCCTTTGTTTCGCGAACCCGCCGAATGAACAGGAGCCGAAAATGAAATAAAAATATAATTTTATTTCAGCGTAATTTCTCGCATAACAAATTCAAGTTGCATTTTCGTGGGAGTATCATGATCAAAGTACGGAAGTCTCGCGCAGATGAGAAACAAGGTTATTCATGGAATAAAATTTTATTTCATTTCTTCTCTCCGATCAATGATCTCACTTACTATTCTTTGAGAATCACACAAATCTAATGGAAAAAAAGAATTAATTTTATTTTTTTCCCGCCATCCTCAAAAAAATTGCCTTATAAAAACTCGCGAAACAAGGAATAAAAAAAGTCTGGCCTACAAAATAAAGAATACCAATGTGAAACGGTAAAGTCTATTTACAAATTTATTGATTTATATCTTCACAGCATTTAAAAAAAATCGTTTCTAATTGTCTTGTTTATAAATGTATTCAAACGCGTAACAATCTCACTTTCTTCCACGCTTGGGCAAGATTTTCCTCTTCTGTGTCTTCGTCACATCTTTTTCTTTTACGGCGAGACTCGTTCAAGTTGTAAACAGGAGTTTGTGTATGCGCTGGAATCTCTTCATGTGATCCGACATCGACTCTATTTCCATTCGATGGTTGCATATTTGACGATGCAACCGCATTCAGAAGTCTGGATTGTATCTCCTGGTAAAGAATTTCAAGTTGTTCCGGTGTAAATAGTCCCAATGTTCTACCGTCTTCTAGGGCATAAAGACGTAAGGGTGGCAGTCGAACTCCTCGTTCAAGCCATGCTCGTATGCGTGAATACATAATATCAAATTCGAAACAAGGTATATCTACCATTACTAGATTATCGTAAGCAAGATCAACACCGCCAGCATTTGGGAACACGTCATCAGATCCTACCACCCTCACGAGCACGTTGATAAGTTGTTCATTTCTTTCATTGACAACTTCATTATAATCACTCTGACGATATCTTCTAAAGTGTTCATCACCAGGTGCATTGAAATGTACATCAACAAATTCTTCATCATTAGATTCAATTGATAACGAATCGTCGATGAACTCTTCACCTTCGTCACTGCTGACGTCACCATTACGTATGTATCCATTTAACGATTCATTATCGCTTGATTGGATTGACAACGAGTCATTGATGACGTCATCTTCGTCACTGCTGATACCGTCGCTACGCTGGTCAATGCTCAAAGATTCATCATCGCTTGATTGAATCCATAATGCCCAATCACAGGCGTCATCTTCAGCGACACTGATATCACTATCACATCTGTCAATATTTGACGATTCTTCTTCACTTGATTGATGTAATGTGTCATTGATGACATCATCATTACGTTGGTAAATGTTTAACAATTCATCGTCGCTTGATTGTATTGATAATGAGTCATTGATGATGGCATCTTCATCGATAGTGACATCATCACGTTGGTCAATGTTTAACAATTCATCGTCGCTTGATTGTATTGATAATGAGTCATTGATGATGTCATCTTCATCGATAGTGACATCATCACGTTGGTCAATGTTCAACGATTCATCATCGCTTGATTGTACAGATAATGAGTCATTGATGATGTCATCTTCATCGATAATTATTTCGTAAGCGTTATTATTTACTGGTGGGCAGGCATTATTTCCACGTAGTTCTACGAATGAATATGTTGATTCGTCAGTTTGAATTGATAAAGAGTCATTGGTAGCATCATCTTCGTCACTACTAACGCCTTGATCACACGGAAAACTTTCCTCTCGAGGATTATCGTCACTATCGCTCATATCACTGTAATATAATTCCGAACTGCTTTTGTTTTTCTTTCTGTGAATTTTCACATCATTGGTGATAACCACCTCCCATTTATCGAATGGAAAAGCATCATCGCTTACTGGTATATGGGGAGGAAACTGCCATTCTACTGGATGTCCAGTGGATGCTAAAGATGACATCCTCCAAAGTAAGTTCATTTGTCTAGTCCACCATCTAGGTCTTCTACCCGTACTCATCCTGGCAGTTGTACGTTGTGTTGGTCGAAGAAACGCCTTCATCACAGATGGATGTATCTTCACTATTTCTTTTTGTTTCACCATATTTGAATCTGTAATACAAATAAATAAGACAAGACAATATATTAATAACGATATTTGTTGTTCAGCTTGACTACTTGTTTCTAGGCTGTTCGAATGCATTATCTAATCTAATACAGTTGTATACGTATCTTCAACAATGAATAGAACCCACATTTATGCTTTAAAAAAAAACGGAACTCATTTCATGGGCACTTCTCCCCGGCTCAACGACCTTCCATAACAATGGTTTGCAATCTAACTAATATGGTTTATTTTACTATAAAACAAACAGGGTAATTGTAAATCCTAAATGGATTCACATATAATATTTACTTTCTTATTAAATATGACAAAACTAGAATAAATATATTGAACTTGTAATTCGAAAGAAGAAGGCAATCGTCACCGCACATGTGTGTAGTACGTTCACACATTGAGTGACTAATCACTGATTGGCAATTCATATCAACTTTCACTCACCTGTGTTGTACAAACGGCTCTAAAAATTACGTATGGTTCGGTTTCAGGTGCGACGATAGTTCACTTGAATCAAGAGGAGTTATCCACGATGTGCGGTCACGGTGAGATGGATCAGCAATAATCGGAGAAGTGTTCGACGCTACTTGCAAAAGCCACGGTGATTGGAACGTTCGAACTACCATTGTGATCTCACAGTGGTAAAAGCATCGTCATGAAAGTGTTAATATTAGCGAATTTATAGAATTTTAGAAAAAAAATCTTGTCGGCAACAACTGAATGGGTGAAAACAAAATGTTTAATTGAATAAAAACATTGTGAACGCGACATGAGCAAGTTTATTATTGCTGCGTATCGCCGAGATGCGCGCGTCGCCGTTGATGGCGCACCGCGCCACAAAACTTTGATGGTTCCCGACATCCTTTGCGAATGGGGCTGTGAACCAGCCATGAACGAGAAGGCTCCATTAATTTCACGCTCAAAACAAGCGTTTTCGGGAACAAAATACGATGATCGTTTTATGAAAGAATCAAAACTGGATTTCTAAATAAATAAACGAATTACTATGAACCACATACATTCTCTGAGTAAATCAACTAAAGATTTGTCACGTAGGTTGTTGTGCAATTTCTGTTTTAAATGTCCATGCAGAATGCTCTAATAGTATCCACTACGAAGCCGGGCACAATATTGTATCATCATGTATTGATTTGTTAGCTCACATGTCTCTTTTCATGGTCAAAAAATAAAAACGTTTCTAAGACTGTCAACAGACGGCAATTCTTTTTCTCACTTACACCAAATAAGTTTATTCAAGTCATAGTCTAACAGAGTCATGTACTTTTCATTTTATTTTTAATAAAATGAAAAGAATATTTTTTTATTTACCTTCATTTACTCTTCGTTGAACATGGCCGAATCGGAATGAATGAATGAATGAATGAATGAATGAATGAATGAAATATGAATTCATGTAAACCGGAATGTCGGTAAAGCGTTGTCACGTGATTTGTAATACTGACTGAGTACTCGTAGTTTACCCATTTCGTGGCTGCTAGTTGTTACCCATCAAATCAGTTTGCTAAACGCATGCCTAGCTCCCTGATGTAGTCAACTTGAAGTTTGCATTGTGGGTAAGAACCAGAACACTCGAAGGGGTAGAGACTGTGCTATCATGCGATATGGATATCGAACATTCTCGATCAGTACACGATGGATGCGATTGGTCACGCGTTCCTGTCAGCCTGATAAAATATTTTAACAGGCAACATTAATTATTATTATTTTTTTTTGCTATTGCCCAAAACACAGTCCCTCTACTGTGGGACGATGCCCAAAATCATCGTTTTTTCCCGATCAGCACAAAAATGACAGCAAATGTCATGTCAAAGGTCATTGAAAAGACGTGTTAAGAAACAACAGACAAACAAATGAACAAAATGGCGATGCTTGACATGTTGAAAGTTGAGTTGGCAGGCGATAAACTGGAGGCGGGCCTGATAGACGCTGTAACACAAGAGGAACGAGACGCTGTTATCTACGAATATATAGAAAAATACAAAGATGAGCAAAACAAAGTATACGTACCCGATTTTCAAACAGGTATGCATTTTTAAAACTGTCAAAGTTGTAAAGTTATTGTTGATTTACTCCAGCGGTTTCCCGTCTTCTCCGAGTCCAAGCAAGGTGCATTAATTCGGTCATCGCCACACATATAAAAACCGTGGTTCAATGCCACTGACAACATTGGCCATGAATACAAGTAAACAGGTGGATAGTCAGCATTTTAAATCTTGGTGGTGGCTGGAAGAGTGTGCAACCGAGGTGGATCATTTGCATTTTGAAAACTCGTTTATATTTTATAATTATTTTTAATTAACCATTTTCGCTTCTGAAATCGATTTTTAAAACCCAATTTCGTTTATGAGAACTGTTTTTCTTTTTAAAACCAATTGTTTAAATCTATGTCGTTTTTAAAATCAATTTTCATTTTTGAAATTAGTTTTGATTTTTAAAATAAATTTTCGTTTTCAAAATTCATTTCGTTTTTAAAATCCATTTTCGTTTTCAAAATCCGTTTTCATTTTTAAAACCCATTTTCGTTGATCCTTTGAATAGGTATAGGTATATATGTACTTTTTATTTTGAAGCAAATTTTCCTTCAGAATTTACTGAAAAATCACAGTTGTTTCCGGCCTATTGCATTAACTTTAGTATAATAATTGTTTTTGATAAGATTCTCATTTCGATTCAATATTTGATTTGTGTTTTCAATCTCATTTCAATTTCAAAATCTATTTTCATTTTCGTTTTTTGACCTGTGATCTCAACCTCTGACCTCATACCAGGTGACTTCACAGTAAATTGGTGTTGATTCTGACATTTTTTTTTTATTTCCACCAGTGATGTTTATATGGCTTCTTTACGCAAGTTCTTCATCAGACTAACTGTTACGTTTGAGTTTATTTTATGTATTTATTAATTGTGTAGTTGGGGTTTTTATTGAAACGTCATATTGCCCTCGGTCGCTTTATGTTGTGTTCTTTTGTCAATTTATCCCAATTTTGCATATTTATTTGTACTGAGTTAGGGAGTCTGCTTTGGCTATAAAAGCCTTTTGTTTTACGTTGACGAGTAGACGGCAATTAGACGGTAAACTGATAGCACTATAATTTTTACCAGTATCACTGACTGGTTTATCAGTTTATAAGGAAATGGGATCTGTTCTTGAACATTGTTAGCTGTCCGGGCTGGTTTGTGCGTTCGCTCTGGCGACGTGTTGGAGGAAGCTGCAAGAAGTCCATGTGTGAGCTGAAACTTGGTACGCTTCGACGGAGATGAAAGAATGAAGATTGACACCACCTGGGAGTCGTGACAAAAGTTCGAAGACGACGGAGTGACAGGCCAGCATAGAACGAACTCTTTGATTTGATTTGATAAGTATTGTTAATTTTGACTGTTTGTTCTTTTTGCCGTTGTCTATATTGGTTGTATGTTACTGCTAGCATTTTTGTTTGAGGTGTGGTGTAGCACACAAAGTTATGTGACATTTGAATAGGGCATTGAAAATATACTACCATTCTATCTTGCACACTGCTTGCGTTCGGACGTTTTATTTGTTATAAAAGTCGAGTACTAGTGTCTGAACGTAACAAGAACTTTTTAAGACATGGTTCCACAGCTTACACTGTGTCATTGAATGCAAAAACAAATATCAGGGTCAAGTTGAAATGATATTGAAAACACAAATCAGATATGGAATTGAAATGAGAAAAACAATTAAAAACAGTTGAAGTTAATGCAGATAGAAGGAAACAACAGTAAATTTCAGTAAATTCTGCTTCAATGTGAAAAATACATATATACCTATAGTTCAAAGGTCAACAAAAACGAAAATAGATTTTGAAAATGAAAATGGATTTTGAAAATGAAATTGGATTTTAATTTAAAAATGAAAATGGTATATGTAAATGGTTTCAAAAACAAACAAAAATGGATTTGAAACAATTGGTTTTGAAATTAAAAACATCTCAGAAACGAAAGTGGGTTTTAAAAATCTGTTTCAGAACCAAAAATAGTTATTAGAAAAGGATTATAAAATAGAAATGAATTTTCAAAATGTAAATGAATTGTAAAAATAGTTATAAAATGCTATTTTATGAGCCACTTTGGTTGCCGTAGTGTACCAATGCACTTTTTTTGCAGTGTCTTACAAATACATTTTTCTTTTTCTTGAATTTTGAAAACTGCATTTTTAGTCTCCGTTCGTGCGTCCGTCCGGAGTCATATCTCAGAATCCCTTGTACCGATTCCGTTCATTCTTTGCATGTGCCTAGTACATGTACTTTATGTGGGACATATGCACATGCAGTAGTTTAGCGATTCGATTCAAAATGGCCGACTGGCAGCCATCTTGTTTTTTGAAAATGTTGTATTTTGGACATGCTTTGTCAGTTTTCATTCAAACTTGGTTACATAGATTATACATGTTAGGATACATGTCCATGACGATTTATTTCACAATTGGATCAAAGATGGCCGACTGGCAGCCATCTTGTTTTTTGAAAATGTTGTATTTTGGACATGGTTTGTCAGTTTTCATTCAAATTTAGTACATAGATCATACATGTTTGGATACATGTCTATGACCATCCGTGAGTTCCTGAGTCTGTCCGTTCATCCGTCCGTGTGTCCATCCTGTCCGTGCACAGTTTGTTCAGGGTCATATTTCAGAATCCTGTGGGCCAATTCTGTTCATTCTTTGCATGTGCCTAGTACCTTATGTGGGACATATGCACATGCAGTGGTTTAGTGATTCAATTCAAAATGGCCGACTGGCAGCCATCTTGTTTTTTGAAAATGTTGTATTTTGGACATGCTTTGTCAGTTGTCATTCAAACTTGCTACATACCCTGGTAGATTATACATGTTAGGATACATGTCCATGACTATTTATTTCGCAATTGGATCAAAGATGGTCGACTGGCAGGCATCTTGTTTTGTTTTTTTATGCAGTATCTTGGACGTGCTCTGTCAGTTTTCATTCAAATTTGGCACATACATGTACTTTATACATGTTAGGATGCATGTCCATGACAATTTGTTTCAAAATCTGGTTAAGGATGGCCAATTGACAGCCATCTGACTTTTTGGCCTTACTGCTATATTTCCAGAATTTATGGACACATACATCATACATATCAGTGTATTTCATAATCAGATCAAAAATGGCCAAATAATGGCCGTTTTTATTTTTGGCCATATTATAATCTGCAATGAACTCGTGTTTTGATGTAAATAAACAATCTGTTGTATACGCCACTTGGAACTCAAGTTTCAAGGACACGCTCTCGACAACCCCTCCGCTTTAATATGACGAGCACAAAGAGAACTTTCCAAAATTTAACGGGGACTGTGTCATTTTCAATGACTTGTAATTTAGCGCATTTTCCAGTCAGCGAAATAAGCCAAATTAAAACCCAGTGAATAATTAACCCTTTTACAGTACCTAATTTAGTCCCCGTTTGGACGAAGTCCGAAAACGGGGACTTATAATTCGGTCTCCGAATAATTCAGAATCCCTCGGACCGATTCCGTTCATTCTTTGCATGTGCCTAGTACTTTATGTGGGACATATGCACATGCAGTGGTTTAGCAATTCGTTCAAAATGGCCGACTGGCAGCCATCTTGTTTTTTGAAAATGTTGTATTTTGGACATGCTTTGTCAGTTTTCATTCAAACTTGGTACATAGATTATACATGTTAGGATACATGTCCATGACTATTTATTTCACAATTGGATCAAAGATGGCCGACTGGCAGCCATCTTGTTTTTTTTTTTATGCGGTATCTTGGACGTGCTCTGTCAGTTTTCATTCACTTTATACATGTTAGGATGCATGTCCATGACAATTTGTTTCAAAATCTGGTCAAGGATGGCCGATTGACAGCCATCTGACTTTTTGGCCTTACCCGGTACTACTATATTTCCACAATGTACCATTTTCATTTGTATTTGGCATCATACATTTCAGTGTGTTTCATAATTGGATCAAAGATAGCTGAATAACGACTGTTTTTATTTTTAGCCATATTACTACTACACGGAACATGTGTTTTGATGTAAATAAACAATCTGTTCTATACGCCACTTGGAACTCAAGTTTCAAGGACACACTCACGACAACCCCTCTGCTTTAATATGACGAGCACAAAGAGAACTTTCAGAAATTTAACGGGGACTGTGTCATTTTCAATGACTTGTTTTGAGTGATTTCATGCAGTCAGTAATAACGGCGTCATAATGATAATATTTATTGCACTATTTTGAACTAGTTTCTTTTGTTAACAGCAATAAAATATTAGTAATGAAATAAAATACATATAATACTAAAGTAAAATGTCAGTTATTGCTCATGATTTCTGATTTCAAATATTTTGTATAAATATTCTTCAGCTTGACTTATTATGTCTTTGCTGGGTGGGACTCGTAATATATTTAAATATCCGAAAATCACTCAATAACTTTTGTCTTTCCATTATTTATGTGTTCTGTATTTTCGATTTCGTTCTAGTAACATTACTTGCACATTCTGTTATTTAAGGGTGTTTTGAGTTGGGTATGTCTACACTTTACTTTTAATACACGTACATACATTTTTTTTAAACTGCTTATTCTGAAACAAGACATTATAATTTTATGTTTCAAATCATGTCAGAGCAAATATGGTTCAAAAGTGTACAAGTCTTTCAACTTTATATATGTTTTTTATTATTTGTTGTTACACTCATCTTTCACATATCTTTGTCAAATATTGCTTAATATTAATATGTGTTTTATTTGCAGCATTTTCAGAGACTGTTTTTGTCTGATATGAAAAAATGTAAATTAAGATACTCTTGTATGCATTATATGTCTGGGTATTTTAAACAAAAAAATAAAATTAATTAACATAATGTTATATAACAATGTATTTTTATGTAATTTTTTTTTTAAATTCCAGGTATGGAATGGTTCAACACAACACAGCCACTGTCTCTGCATAAAGATCTACATGGCAAAATAGTCATCTTAGATTTCTTCACATATTGCTGTATTAACTGTATGCATATATTACCAGACTTAGAAGCCATAGAAGACGAGTATTCCGTTGAAGATGGTGTAGTTATCATTGGTGTACATTCTGCTAAATTCACAAATGAAAAAGTATCAGCAAATATTCTAGGTGCTGTCTTAAGATATGAGATATCGCACCCTGTCGTTAACGATCGTGACGCAACATTGTGGAAAGCTCTACAAATACAATGTTGGCCCACAATTGTTGTTGTCGGCCCGAACGGAGAAGTTCTACTTGTTCTTGCTGGGGAAGGTAATCGTGAAAAGCTACTTGATTTTACACGGATTGCAGTTGATTATTACAAGTCATCTGGAACACTAAGTAGTCATAATATTACAATAGAACTGGAGAAGAATAAGTTATCGAATAAAACGCTATCATTCCCTGGAAAGATTTGTATGGATTTCACTGGTGATAATCTTGTTATTTCTGATAGTGGACATCATAGGATACTGATAGTGTCTAAAGAGGGTGTGGTCAAGGAGTGCATTGGTGGACCAAATAGTGGATATAATAATGGCAGTTTTGAAGAAGCCAAATTTCATTCTCCGCAGGGAGTCATTTGTCATGGAGATTATATATATGTTGCAGATACTGATAATCATGTTATAAGACAGGTGAGTTGAAATTACAAAGTTTTAGTGTGAATAACTCCCTGATTGCTTGGCCACAATGCACAGGACAGCGACGATCTTGTAGCAAAAGGATTGACCGTCATCTCTATAATAGATGGAATGGCAAACAAGGAATATTTACATCTCAAGTTCAACACATTTAAAATGAGTAATTTTGTTCCGGCAATGACTGTGGCATTGTAAGGAGAAATCCTTCTCTGCTTTCCGTATTGATTAGTTTTTTTTTATATTTTGATTTCAGATTGATTTAAACAATGAACTAGTAACAACAGTCGTTGGTACAGGTGTGTTGGGGGAAGATAAAGAAGGTGGTGCCATTGGTGAATTACAACCAATATGTTCACCGTGGGATTTGGAATTGGGATGTTCACCAAGCAGTGATCATGACGATATTATCTATATTGCTATGGCAGGTTCTCACCAAATATGGCTATATTTTCTGGAGGATGCTGATTGGTTGAAATCAACGTAAGTTAAATGTTTGTGAGTAATAGACCTAGACATAAATGGCCGTCCAGATCTCATTAAAAGTGAGATAGCCACAAGATTTTTTTTTTTGTCTCTGCTGAATGCATTGACAAATATATATATTTATTTAATATTTGTTTTCTTCTGGGGAAAATACAAGCCGTATCACTGTCAAAAATGAGTAAGGGACGACGTCAAAAGATCGATGTCGGATAAAAAACTTAATTCCTTTAGTTCCCCCCCACTGAAACTTAATTGATAAATATTGATCATGGCGTCAGACTACATTCACCATTAAATACAAATTGATAATCGGACAGTAGTATGGCATAGCAGTTGGTTGTAATAATGTAGGGAACATTCGCATGTGCAAACTACTTCTCTGGGTTCTGCGCATGCTCTAGGTCCATTCCCTGAAATTGACCTCATTTGACGCACATATTTACACTCGGACCAAACCATTTTCTCGTCTCTGTGTTTTTTTCATTTTCTGTTATTTTTGTCTATTATTGGATAGAAAAAAAAAAAAACTACAAATAATCCAAGATTTTTTTGACTTCATTAAAAAATAAAATCGTTTTTGTAGGATGGAAACTTTTTGA